AAACAAAAAAACAAACAGTGGAAGGCACACACTTCTCCCTCCTCCTTTTGCGTCCCATATTCCCGACGGTGCCGGCGACAAAACAACTCCTGCTGCGACTACTCGCAGAGAATATCAACCGCACATCGCATTGGCCCTGTCACGATCCGTATTTCGACAGGCAACCGACCTTGTAGCCTACCTCGCGCAGCACCCCATTCAGCGTGACGGCACTGTTCATCCACAACGACGGTGACAACAACGACGCTGTCGCACGGACTAGAGGGCACGAGCAGCGCATCACCGCCGGAATGCAAACAGCCGCGTCTCGCTCACTTTCTGTGAGTTCGGCAAAATAACTCGACGGAGGCCGGATCCAACTCCACTCGTCTCCCGCCGTGTATTCCGCGGCAGACGGCATCGCCTTCTCGCAGGCGAGCTCCAGCAGGAGAAGCGTGGGGTCGTGATGCGCCAACAGTTGCTGCCGTGTGTCGGCAAACGCAACGGCGTCAGCGCGCAACAGCGAGACGTGTGCCAGCGCCGGCCTGTGCGCCGCCGCGAGAAGTGCCGCCGTGTCGCTTCCCCAATCGACAATTTTCATTTTGTTCGCCGCTCCAAAGGCAACGGTGTTTGCCGCAACTTCCTCTTCAAGCGCCGCGGCACCCGTCGCCGGCATGACGATGGCGACGTGGTACGCCGCGGTGTTGTCGTCATTGCCCGCATCGCCGCTGAGAAGGGCAACAACACACCGAAATCGATCGCCCAGTGAGTTCATTCACCCAACGTCAACGCAGAGTGGCTGCTGCTGCTGCTGCTGCATAAGACAAAAAAAGAAATGAAGCGAAAGGCGAAGAAAACAGTTATAAAGGAAAAAGAAAAAAAGGGGGGGGGGGCAGCAGCCAACAAACTCAGCGGGGGAAAAAAAAAAGCAGTGGACCGACACAAGCGGATTCCCACGCACAGACGGAAAAAAAAAAAAAAACAATAAAAGAAACCAATAAAGAAAACACAAAAGGAATGCAACACATAAATATACATGTACATAAATAAATATATATATTTATATATTTGCATCCCTTCACGGCACCATGCCCCGCCCTCTACAACAGCTTAAATAAGCGTACTACCGGTTGTAATAGCCATAAGTACAGATGGTTACGAGCGTATAAATGCATGTGTGCTTGTAAATAAACCAGAAAGGAGAATAGAAGGTAAGTATGAATGGATCTGCGTACACACAGACACAGAGAAAGAAAAGAAAAAAAAAAAAAATCCGTTCACCTCACAAACTATATTTGAATTTCAACGCTTCTTGTCCCATCTTTGTTTTTTTGTTTGTTTTTTTCCTTAACATTATTACTTTGTTGTTGTTGTTGTTGTTTGTAACGAGTGTGAAACATTTACTTCCCAAGATATCCAACAACGTTGTCAACGAGAGTGTACAGCAGGTGACCACCAAGCGCGGGGTAGCGCATCAACATAGAGCGCGCCACACTCTCGCCATTGGGCTTCTGGTGTGACTCCATAGCACGTATTGCGTCATTCACAAGATGCTCAATTCTGTCGTAGCAGGCATCTTGGGCATTCATACGTGCAGCCAGACGGAGGGTATATGTCTTCAGCATCTGCAGCGTCGCCTGCAGCTCTGTTGAGTAGTGGAAGATGCGAGCCGTGGCACCGCGTGTCGTCTTCACCTTCGTGTGGAAAACGTCCTTGTTGTTAAATACCAGCGAAAGGGTAGCCATCGCCATCACCTGAGGAATGGCGCTGAAGGCAAACACGGATGGATCCCGCAGGGAGGCGAGGTACTCAACGACGTGCGGCACGTGCACCAGGGCATCCGCCACCATCGCGTTCAGGCACTCAACGGCTTTGGCCTCATGCAATTCGTCCTTAAAGGCGTGAAGATCGTCCGTGTACTTCTCCCATATCTCGCGTGGCCAAAAGACACGGGGCGGCACCTCGCAAATGTCCTCGTAAAAGTCACGAATAATGTTTGTCTTCTGCAAAAAGAGTCCCATGTGATTGGCGTTCGTCAGGTCATCGGCAAGCCGCACGTCCTCCAGCCCGCTCGATACATACAGAAGTGTGAGGCCGTGCCCAACAAGTCCGGCGACGTAATGGCAGTAGAGATCGTAATCCGCCTTGGTCTCAACCTTTCGCGTAAGGAAGTCGCACATTCCATTCGCCATCCGCTCGCAAATACCAGAGATGACGTCCTGGTATGCCTTGCCAAGCCTCGAGTAGGCGCGCGTGACGTGTGTGTAGCGCTCAAGAAGCTCGCGCTCACGGCCCACACCGACGCCGGACATGCACCACGTCGTGTCGTGCAGGTGCTCATGAAACTTTGGCAGCTCCCGCAGCTTAAAGTCGACGGGAATACTCATATCGTCCTCCACTGTGTCGAGGGCACGAAGGACAAGGTAAAAAATGCACACGGCATCTCGCATCTCTTCATCGAGCTCCATGATTACAACCGCAAAGGAACGTGAGACGGCCTGCAGTATGTCGTAGCAAAAGCGGAGATCCTCGTCGTTACACGCAATACCCGTTTCAATGCGACGCAGCCGCCACTTCATACGCACCATGGCGTACAACTCCTCCATGTACTCCATTTTTCTTTTCCTTTTTGTTTTTGCTTTTGTTTTTGTTTTGTGGTTATTTTTAACTTTTTATTTCGGGGGTATATATATATATATATTGTTTTCTGGTCGCTGCTACTCTACAAGGAGCGGGGCGACGGTCTGCTAAAACCCCTACGACTGCGCTGCACTACACGGAGGAAGAAGAAAAGAAGCGGTAAAATGCCACGTTCGGCGAGATGACAGAGAAATGTAACTTCGCCCATTTTCCCCCCTTTGCCGCTGCTCAAACAGCCGCCATCTCCCCTCGCACCCGTCCTCCACCGAGAAGGCAAAGACACACACAGAAAGAAAGGCAAGGATGATGGATACATGCAGATGGATGCGAACTCAGACGGTCGTCAAGCGCACACACATAAACAGACAGACAGAAATTGTATATGCATATCCGCGCGCAATCATGCAGGCATACGGTCTACGCTACACACTGCGGGGCCACGATGACGATGGAGTTCATTTTGTGCGTGTGTGTTTCACGTCGGGGGTAAATTCAACAATCGTCGAAGCCTCGTCGTTAATGCCGCCAGCTGCGCCACTGTGAGCTCCACGCGGTACTCCCGCGGTCCCACCTTTAAATTTACAGCCTCGGAAGGCGCATGTGGAGGAGGCGGTGGATGAATGGCCGTGCATGACAAAACCGCCACGTTCGGATTCAACGGACTCTCCCGCACAGTCAACGCCGTCACTTTCATTCGCCCCCTTCCTCTTTACAGCCAAACCACTCCACACATAAATCCACACACAGACACACCCCTTCCCCTGCGGTAAAACAAAGAACAAAAAAATTCACCAGAAACAGCAGCCAGAGCAAAAAAAAAAAAAAAAAAAGAAAAGAATGAGAGAGAATCACCCCCCACTCACATGGCGTGAGAGACGTGTGCAGCCACGGCGGCAAAAAGGATAAAACGTGTGTCTGCGCGAAGCCCATCCGCCCACCGTCTGTTCATCGCAGGCACCACTCGCTCCTCCTCCCCCTTCCCCTTTCCGCAGAGGCCCATGCAGACAACACACAACCGGACATCCCACACGTCCCCATGTACTACATTACATGTGGGATGCGCACATGTAGTGGTCTGTACACATGAGCACAAAAAGGGGGGTGTTGGGGGGGAGCAGAAAAAGGGCGGCCCTGCAGACGCACCGCCCCGCTCCCAGAGGCACCCCTCCGGGGAAAAAGGGGGAGGAGGGAGGGAGAGGACACGGTCGAAGAACAATAACAAAAAAGACGGAACTTCACAGCAAATCAGTGAGAAATACATAATTAAAAAAAAAGAAAAAAACAAAGAAAGAAAAAAAAGGTTAAGGAAAAATCGGAATACATCATACATATATCGTATATATATATATATATGTATATAAGAAGGCGCGGCTCTGCTGCGGTGGATGGGGGGATGGGCTGTGCGCCCATCCTGTCGTGTTGTCCGCCTTCTCCCCCCCATCCACCCACTCTCCGCAAACACAAAAGCACACACAAACAAACACAATATATCCGCAGTAAAACACGGCACCATGAGGAGGCAGCGGTCACGGTCCAGCAATACAAAACCAACAAAAAATGGTGGCCGCAGTATTTATCCTTAAAGCACACAAATACTACAACTAAAACACACACACACACAAATAAACCCACAAGAAAAAAACAAAAACACGACGTCGTTCAAAGCTTAAAAAAAAAAAAAAAACACACAAAAAAAAGAAGGCATCAATAATGAGGCACTCGCCAAAAAAAAAAAAAAAAAAAAAAGGTCGCAAAATAAACCAATACGTGAGAGACAAGAAACCATCATTTGCAAAATACATCCATGTACCCACACACGCATAAATACATCTGCTTGCCACATTAGGCGCCTGTATTTATATATGTATGCAGATATTCCATTGCAATACAAAACACACACACACAAATAGTAAAGCCCAAAGGAAGAAGTAAACGCAAAGAACAAAAAAAAAAAAAACAAAGGGAATAATATGCAATAAACATCCTCTTCTCCACAGGAAATGTGATGTGATGTGATGTGTCGTATCTCAACAACACAAAGACGCACGCACATGATCCTCCTGCGTTCCCACACCTTACATTTCTTCTTTTTTTTGTTTGTTTTTTTTTTCTTTATTTCTTTCGTCTTCCTCTTCTTTTGTGCGTTCTGTTTACCCTTTTTAATTGGAAAAAAAAAATTTTTTTTTTTGTCCCTTTAGCCGCTGCACGGCGGTATAATGCCGGCACGGCAAAGGAGGAGGAGGGAAGGAGGCATTCATCGCGTACACGCGCACAAATGGATTGAGTGAGACGACCCCTCTTTTCCCCCTTGCGCTTCTCTTCATTTCGATGTGGTCTCCTTTTCGTCTCTTCCTCACGTGTACATTTTTTTCTTTTCTTTTCTTTTCATTTGTCTTCACTTCTTTCTAAAAAGAAAGAAGAAAAATACTCTTTTTTTTTTTTGTTTGTTTGTTTGTTTTCTTCTCTTTTTTTTTTTTTTTTTGAGGAAAATTTTTATTTTTATTTCCCTCCTTTTAAATTCAACTTTTTTCTTTTATTTTCTTTTATTTTCTTTTATTTTCTTTTATTTTCTTTTATTTTCTTTTATTTTCTTTTATTTTCTTTTGTTGTGTTTCGCCACCTCCCTTCTCGACCGCTCATTTGTTAACCAAAAGTCTTTTGTTCTTTTTTCCCATTTTTCCCTGTTTACAGGCGTGGAGTGACTTCAACGCCGCTCCACCAAAACACGTCGGGCGTGTCATCGCACAGATGTAACGGGCTGCCGGTGGAATAAAATAAATGCAGAGAAGAAAAGGAAGAAAAAAAAAAAAAAAACATGCGTGCATCCATGGATGTAATATCAATAAAATACTCCGGCCTATGAGTATACATGCATACAAATATATATATACGTATACTCAATGCTCCTAAGCCTTTGTGTGTCTCTCTCTGTGTGTGTGTGTTTGTGTACATTACAAAAATACATCGAATGGATCTGCATGAATTTCACACCGGAAAGCGCACATCCACGGATCTTTCTCTTTCTTTCTTTTTCTCTCTCTCTCTCCACATGAACGCCTTAAAATGGCAAGGCGTTCTGCAGAGCGACAAGCCACTCCTCGTACGACGCCTCGTTGACTTCTTTAAACCAAAAGGCCTTTCCAGTTTGGTTTTTCATCGCAAAGACGAACTTTTCATGCGCAATCGCGGCGTCAATGGGACAAACGGATGTCAGGGCGCTCAGTTCAACACGTTCCTCCGAGCCAGTCGCCACATCCCGCATAACGACCGCCTCCTCGTCCAACAAAAGCTCGCAATCCTGCCAGCCGCGATCTGCCGTGTGCCGGGTGACGATCCCTCGCCGCGGCACCACACGACTGCTCTCGTAGTCTTGAATGTCGGAGTTGAGCACCTCGTCCACGTTGCAGGCAATGTCCTTCTGCACATTCTGCGGAATGCGGTTGTGGTTCAATACACTACGCCGCAGCGTCTCAAGCCCTTTGCGGATAAACGGCTGTTGAAACAACTGTCGAAGGGACGGGCGATACTTCGGGTCTAGCGAAAGCAGCTGATCGCACACGTTGCGTAGATCTTCACTGTAAATATTTGGAAGTGGCTGGCGGCGGGCGTGCAGAATGTTGTCAATGAGCTCGTCCATGTTACGGCCGCCAAAGGGGCGTTTGAGGACAATAACTTCATACAACACAACACCAAGCGCCCACATCTCACTCTTCTTGCTGTATGGTGCGCGGCGCCAGAGCTCCGGGCTCAAGTAGTACGGCGTGCCGCAGAATGTGGAGCCGACTGGGTTGGAGAGCGAGTCCTCATACTGCCGGGGAGAAACCAAAATCGCCCAGCTTCACCAGCCCCTGTGGGTGTAAGAAGGACATTGGCTGTTTTCAGGTCCCTGTGCATCATCTTGTTCATGTGGATGTGGTCAAGGGCAAGACAGAGCTGTAGGAAAATAAATAGGACCTCGTGCTCCTTAAAATACCGTGTGGACTGCTGTCGTGCCTTAATTTGCTTGTAGAGATCTCCACCGTCAGCGTATTCCATGATGATCAGAAGCATCCCACCCCGTTCGTAAGAAACGTGATGTCGTATGATGTTCGCATTGTTGCAGCGCGAGAGGCACTTTACTTCGTTTGTTACAAAACCGCGATCCTTGGAGCTCATGTTGTTGGTGTCCATGACTTTCGCCGCGTAGATCGTCCCTGTTTCCCGTTCCTCCACACGCCACGCGCTGCCAAAACTTCCCTGGCCCAGTAACTTCTTCTTTATATATTTGCAATCCGGATGCGTGCCAAGAATGCCCTCCAATGGGTCGGACTTCGCGGCATCACCTTCGGCGGGGGGTTGCGGCAGGCCGCTATTGGCATTTGCCATCCGTTTTGTGTCGGTCATTGTCCTCACTATCACTGAGCAGAGAAAGAGAGAGAGAGAGATAGACAGCAGGGGAGGATACATACATGTGCACCACACACAGACACGCAGAGACATAAAAAGAGCAAAAGAAGCAGAAAAACAAAAAACAAAAAAGGAAGGGTGGACACATGACAGTGCAGTCGAATTTCCTCCATTCACTCCTTTCCGCCCAACGGCTTTGAACGCGCATCCATGCCTGGGAAGATGGAGAAAATCCTACCAGCCACCAGGAGGAGCCGGAACGACGATGATCATCATCCAAACGAGCGGCAAGAAAATAATAATGGTCCGATGAATTAGAAGAAAAAGAAAAAAAAAAGGAAAGAAAGGAAAAAATAAAGCGGTAAAAAAGTTGGAAAGACATCGAACGTACGAAAGGCATTTAAAAAGTCTCAAAGGGGAATAATGATAATAATAAAAGTCGCACGCGTCGCTAGCAAATAGGCCTTCGGCATTATGTCGTTTCGTCCACTTCTTTTATGCCCATCTGTTATTCTCGGTTTCAAAGCATATCACTCACACTTCCCATCTCCCTCTCTCTATAAGCATAAACATACAGGTATATATATATATATATATGTGTGTACATGTATGTTCCCGTCAAATTATCATGGCAACTTTGCTCCTTTCCCCTCCTCCCCCACCTTCTCCTCTCTTTCCCTTTCCCAGAAGCCAATTGCACCACTACGAACGTGTCTTGTCGTGCAACTGCGGAAAAAACAAGTGACCCATAAACAACTGCCAGTTGTACATGTTTACACAAAGACACACAGACACACAGACAGAAGTAGGATGGAGAAGAGGGAGGAAAAAGCCTTCATAAAACAAAACACGATACGTTTACTCGGGTTTGCTGGCCATCTCAGCCTCAGTAAAGGTGAGCTTCCCTACCTTCTCTGCACGGTCCCGTATTCGCTGCATGGCCCCCATCGCAGCCTTCAGCATATTTTCATCCTCAAAGAGGCTTTCAAAACAATTTTCTAACGCATCGGTTCCCTGGCATTGAGCCGTCAGACGTGTCACCTCTTCAACCGCAGTCAAGGGCGACGGCAACGATATTGCCGGTGACGGCGGTAATAACGAGACGCCACTCAAAAAGACACCATTCAACTCCACCTTTTCTGTAAGCCACTGCATGTGCAGCGCATCATTAGTTCCCCACGGAATATCGGGATGATCCTGCGCAAAAGCCGCCTCAATTTTCCGGACTCCCTCGGAAATGGAACCAACTTCTTTCGCCTCCACCATCGAGACCGCCACCGACAGTTCCTTCAGTTTGCGCTGCAGTTTGGCGTGAAACAGGCGTCTGCTATCCTTCCACGGTACCACGCCCCGCACGGCACCCGTGGCCTGCATGCGAAAATGGGTGTCGTGTAGATCTGCGAAGCGAATGGCAACATCGCGGTAAAGCGGCAGCAGGCGGTTCTCTTCATCTCGAAGCCTCTGATGGTCTAATGCGGCAAGGTGTGGGTTACTGCGACGGATGAGCTCCCGTACATCGTTTTCCCGGAATTTGATTTCCACGACACCAGACGCCTCCATCACGCCACCGCGGGAGGTGGGATCGCAGTACATCTCAACCACACCGTTGTGGTTGATGGAAGGGTCAACGACAACCCACGCCCCGCCCCGCAGCTCACCGCAGGGGGGAATGTAAATAAAGAGAGGACAGTTGTAGACACGGACATTATCGACGATGGAGGCACCAAACTTGAGCACCTCGTCAAACATGTCTCGCATTCCACCTGAGAAACCGCGCCAGTTCGCCAAAATAAAGCATGGAAGCCGCTCGTGATGAAAGTCGTCAAGCGCATCTGCCGTCTTGCGTGCGGAGTCGGGGAACCACACCTGCCCCGCCTGCGGAATGAAGGATGAGGCAGACGTCGGGTCCGCAGGGTCAGCAGGGTCATGCTTGCGCGTCATTCGCGTCTCGACAAGAATGATCCCACATGGAATACCACCAAGAGTTGCCCGCCCCGTCACAACGGACTTCGCCCAACCCTCCAATGACTCGGTCCACGAGCCGCGGTCAAATAAACCCAACCTATCACCCACACCACAAACCAAGTGCCGTGGGTCGTACGCTTCACCTCCTTTTGGCATGAACGTGACGTCCCTGTCCACGGGATCATAGTTAGGCAGTGCGAGAACACGCGGGCAGCATCGCAGCGGATCCACAGTGGGTGGGACGTAGTTGAGCCAGCACAGCAGGGCTTCTGCAGAGCTGTAGTTGTTCTTCGTGCACCAATGCGTCACGCCATTCGGCACCATTATCCTCTTTCCACCGAGCTGGCCGTTGTCGCTGTACACCTCTTTTCCAAGAAGACGGTTGAGTGCCCCGGCGCCTGTCAAGATGAGTGGTGCATCGTCTGTCTGAATCACACGGCGGCCAATGCGGTTCAAGTATGCTCCGATACCAACGCTGCGTCCCGTCACAACGCTGATGGTCGGAACTTCGCTGTAATTTTTAGACATCTGCCCCGCCACAAGGCCGGAGCCGCGCAGGTTCTCCACACCCAAATACTCATCCGGTGCACCAACAATGCCGCGGATAACGTAACGCGTTTCACCGTTGCCGTCTTTTTCCTGCCTTGGCTCCACCGATAACCGCACGCCAAGCCGCATCAGCTCCTCGTAATCTTCGGGCAAGAGATACAAGTATTCCAACTCATTCGTCTCACTCAGGGCGACACGAAACCGCTTCTTTACCTCCACACTCAACCCAAGTCGCGCCCCACTGTTGGCGCTGATGTACACAAAAGGCACACGTAATCTTCGGGCCAGCTCGGAGGCCGCAGAGAAAACGTCATCCTCTGGAACGGCAAAAGAGCCGGACTGAAACGCAATGTCATTGGCAACCATCACAATACGACGAATTCCGGCGGTGTCCGTGTCGCTGTCGTAGTACGTTGGGGGAACAATAGTCACCAGCCACACAATCATTCCACATGGGATGTGTCCCAGCGGTCTCTTTTCGCAGAGGGTCTTGCCGTCGGAAGCGTCAAGAAAAAGTTCCTTCGCCCTGAGCACCTCCTTTGGAATACATTTCCATGAGAAGCCTCGCCCGGATGCATGTTTCTCCCATTGATTTCTCAGCACTGTTTCCAGCAGCAGTGGCCAGTCGTGCACGTAGACGGTTTTTAGGGACCTTGCCTGAAGGCGCTTCAGTTGTTTTGAAGAGACCATCGGATACGGCCCCAACGGGAGAGATTCCTCAATTTCATCGCTCGTCTCGGGCCCCGGCGTCTCCATCTTATCACGTGAAGGAAGCAGGTTTCGCAGCGCCTCCAGCTTCGACAGAGTGCGTAAGAGAGTACGAGGTGCAAGGTTACTGTTATGATTGTTATTGGTGCCATTGGAACCGTTGCCCTTATCCTTTGGGCCAGAAGAAAAGTCGTTGGTGTTTTCAGTTAACTTGGATGGGGTTGTGAGGACGACGTCCTCTGAGCTCTCTGG